ACAAACACACACAATAGATAAATACATACACACACACACAATAGATAAACACACACACACACAATAGATTATAACACACACACACAATAGATAAACACACACACACACACACACACACACACACACACAATAGATTATAACACACACACACAATAGATAAACACACACACACACACACAATAGATAAACACACACACACACGCTCACAGTTCAGTTATTGATTGATTTGTTTATTCTGTGTGTGTATTGAGTCCGAGACAAATTTCCTGAATAAAGTATAACTCAGATCAACTCAAATGACTGATTAAAGACATCACTAACACTGAATAAATCAATCAAAGGCTTTATCCATAATTAAAATGTTAATTAAACTCAGATGTGAATGTTGATGTGGCAGCAGAGGAAATAGACGTAAGCTCATACTGTGTCCACATACAGCAGGTAAACTGATCTGCCAGTGCATTACACTATATTCATATTAGCTTTAATCAATCATCAGCTGAGGGGAACTCCTGAATCTAGCGTGATCAGCATTTCTTATTTTTATCTGCATCTTGTTTTTACTGTAACTATTTTCATCTTCTGCAGGTTATGAATAGAGCATCACGGTGGCGCAGTGGACAGCACGATCGCCTTACAGCAAGAAGGTCTCTGGTTCGAGTCTCGGCTGATCTGATCTCTACAGCTGAGCATGCTAGCAGAGTGAGGTGTGTGTTTCTTCCAGAACTGCATGAAGACTGATGTACAGTGAGCAGATGTGCAGCCTGAGTGTTTTTGCTGTGCGTGCGTGTGTGTGTGTGTGTGTGTGTGTGTGTGTGCGCTCCTGCAGACCCGTCTGTCTAACATCAGCATGAGCTGGAGCTTCAGGCGGATCCATCATCTGCTTCATGTTAATCTCAATCAGCAGATGCTCTCCAGATCAATAACTCACATCTAACAATGTTCTTGCCATGTCCGAAAAGATGAGTGTGTGTGTGTGTGTGTGTGTGTGTGTGTGTGTGTGTGTGTGTGTGTGTGTGACTGACAGCAGCTGCAGAACAGTGGCCATGAGGTGAGTGTGTGTGTACTGAAGAAGAGCTCATGTGTTTTCATGGTCATGTTGGCATTATTGCTGTGAAAGATAACCCTCAGCTTTCTGGTGTGAGGGCGGAGTCAACCTGTCACTCACATAACACACACCAATGGAATGTGTTAATGACACCCGCATTCACACATGAAGAACTGCTACAGTAATTTACAGTGTGTACTGTGGTTAAACCCTACTGCAGTGTGTAGTTATTGATCTGTTGTGGAGATTCTGCAGTTGCTATGGTAACACAAGTACAGTAATTAATCTGTTGTGATTCTGCAGTTGCTATGGTAACACAAGTGCAGTAATTAGTTATTGGAAGACTTTGGAATTGTTTGGTTCTGATTGGGTTAAGTGTGAATGCTGAACAGCTGATCTCGAGAGTGTAGTGTGTGTGTGTGTGTGTGTGTGTGTGTGTGTGTGTCTATAGTGTATCGCAGACAGATGTTTTCCCGCCGGCAGTTTCCTCCAACTTCAGGGTTTGATCTGGAGAATGTGTGATGGCGGCAGCGTCTCGTGTTTACCTGATCAATCCAGTGAAAACAC